GTCTTGCATGCTGACCTTGAGATTGTTCCTGGACTTGAATTAATGGCCTGCGGGGTTGCCTGCTGATCTTGGGACCATGCCATTTTACCTGCCAATCTTGAGTTTGTCAACCTCTGCAGCCAGCAGCTGCCTGACTTAGAAGACACCGCTAGCTTCTAGCCAATATATAACAACATGTATATACATAACAAAATTCTGAAATAAATAGCCAGTATTTCTTGGTTTGTTTTAACATTGCTGCTATTGTTTATCTTCATTTTCTATATTTCTATATTAAACATTCATGGTCTATTAAAGAACAAATAAAATTTTAATATAATTTTTTAATCTAGCACATAAAAATTGTTGTCCTACCATTTTCACTTTTAGAATAGCTAATAGAAGTGGTCAGAGGGGAATGTCAGAAAAGAACAAAATTATTGTTCAGCCAGTCTTAGAAGACTTCCTGATGGAGGAGTCCAAAGCCCAAAATGTAATCTTCATCACTCTCCTCCTTCAATCAAATATTTCGGTTTGCTTAATATAAAGAAGTCTCCACAGTGCCTGATGAACCTCCTTGTTCCTCAGGGTATAGATCACAGGATTAAAGATGGGGGTGACCACAGTGTAGAGCAGAGCAAAGACCTTGGAAAGGAGCTGGGAGTGGACAGCAGAAGGCGCAACATACAAGATCATGAGAGTTCCATAGAATGTGGACACTACAGCTACGTGTGAGGAGCATGTGGAGAAAGCCTTTCGCCTGCTGGCTCCTGCAGGAACTCTTAGCACAGTCACCAGTATCCAGCCATACGATGTCAGAATCAGTCCAAAGGGAACAGTGAGGCAGACCACAGAGAGAATGAAGGTCATCACCTGGGCCACCCTGGGATCTGAACAAGCCAGCTCCACCAAAGGCATGAAGTCACAGTAAAAGTGGTCAATGTGATTAGGGCCACAGAACCTCAGCTGTGACATCAGAGCCACAACAAGTCCATCTATCATGAAACCAGACAGCCAAGCTGTGACCACCATCCCCAAGCACCATCTGGGCCCCATTAGGAGTGGGTAGCGGAGTGGGTGGCAGATTGCCAAGTAGCGATCATATGCCATAACAGCCAACAGGAAGCATTCAGCTGTGGCTAGAGAGCCGAAGATAAAGAACTGAAGCAAGCAACCAGCCACAGAAATGACTGCCTCCTTCAAGAAGCCCTCCAGCATTTTTGGCACCACTGAGGAGGTGTAGAGGATCTCCAGGAAAGACAGATTAGCCAGAAAGAAATACATGGGTGTGTGGAGCCTCTGGGAGCTAACCACTGCCACAATGATTAGCATATTCCCTGTGATAATGGAGGCGTAGACAACAGTGAACACAATAAAGAAAAGGAGATGCAGTTCAGGGATGTCATAGAATCCAAGCAGGACAAATTCAGTAGTAGTTTGGTTTTCTATGGAGACAGCTTCCATGTGGATCAGCCACATTTCTGCTTGGCAGTGCTTAAGGGAGCAATTTCAGTGCATCTCTATATCTTCCAGACTAAACCTATGATTAGTAGGGTTAAAACAAAAAATGTAAGAATCAGTCTCCAAAACAAGAATCATTTGCACAAGTCCTCGTTTTACTCCCTTTTTAGTGACTTACTCCTTCCTCAACTATTCCTGCCTGCATTCCTTAATTGTGGGTGTTCTCCCAAACTCAGAGAATTTATCCAAACTCAGAGTTTCAAAGCACTTTATTAATATTAATATTAATCTAATACCTCTATCATATAATGAAGCCCACTTCCTAATATTTATGTCCAACCAAAACTTCTCTGTTGAGTGCCAGGCACCAGTGTAAATGTCTATAGATCTGTCCAGTGAGATATCCCATCATCAGCTCAAAATCAGCATGTCCAACAACAAATTCTTTTGTCTTCCCCAGTCACAACCAACTCTTCTACGAGTGATTCAAAACTTTTTCCTGGGAACAAAAGTGAATACTATTACATACACAATCCTGCAATGACAGTAATAAAAATACTTTATGAGTGGATGCATAAATAGACACTCATTTTGAACAGAGGTGGGAAGATGAATGGAACTACACCTGTGAATATATGTAGGTTTGACAGAGGCTCTCTTTATCTCTT